TGTTTTCCCTCCAAACGGAGAGACAGCAATTTTGACATAACTCGTACTGAACGCAATTTCGACTTACAAACAAAATATTATTTTCTGCCCATTTTTTTACTTCTTCATTTAAGAAAGGAAATGAATTAAAAGAGCTAGTATATGGGGGCCTCTCTCTTTTGTAATGATCCCTGGAAAATATTTTTAATTGGGGGTATTTTGTGACGGTGGGACATTTTTCTTTACAGAGAGCAAAGAATTGTTCCTCCGTTTCTGCTTCGCCAAGTATTCCTTTCCAGAGTTCGTCTCTGTTTTTTGAAGGACTTCTCCCCTTAGATGAAAATTCTCCCCATTCGACGAACTCGCCCCCTTTCTGTATATACTGTCGACTTGCTGTTGGCGAGTGGAGTCCAACAATCTTAAGACAGAATCCTTTTTATCCCTGTAAAAGTTCCAGTGAGATCGAAAAATCTCGGGTTGGAGGTTTGGATCTTCTTCGTGCATTGGACCATGGCATGAAGGTGTGGGTTTCCATCTTCATGGAGCTCCCTTGCGACAAGTATGTAGTATGGCTGACAGGCTAGTTGGAGGAGAGACTAGAGGAGTTCTAAGAGTTGTTCTTTTGGGCATGGGCATTGTGGGTAGGTGAGGAAAACATTCTTGGCATAAAAACGGAAACAGGCTTGGCGAGGCATTATTTAGCTTATTTAGTGATTAACACTTAACTTACACTGGTGTGAATGTTATTTGTCGAGGCTTTATATAGGGGGAGGTCACACCAGCGGGGGGGGCGCTATATATAATATTACTAGCGCCCCCCCTGTTGAAATTGTACCCGATAGGCAATTTCATCCGTCGATGGACGTACAGATGGTGACGTGTAAGGTGGAGATTAAATCCGTACTCACACCAAATAGTAATCACTATTTGGTATGAGTGGTGGGAGTAGACGTGGCCGGATCCTGTCCACCCACGTGTCACGATCGTGGTGGTTTTGCTTGGAGATAAAGCCAAGGTGCACAGAATTCCGCGTGAATGAACAGTAATGGGCGGGAATTCAAATTTTAAATTTCGAATCTCCGTATTTACAGCTGTCTATATATCTGGGTCCAGCCTCAGATATTTGTCGGTGGAGAGAGATATGAGAGAAATGCTTTTGCAGTTGGAGAGTTATTACACTGAGGTGATTTTCTGGTACCTTGTTTCGTCCCTCTTTTTCTTTCTGCCATTTTTGTCGATTTATTTGGTATACAATGTTCTACTCCTTAGAAGAGTATCCCGAGAATTACGGGCAGTTCACTCAAATGTGTGTAGATCGCTTTTTGACGTGGCAACTAGGACTGTGGGAAGAGAGCCGGCGAAGAGCTCCGGTGAAGTTTGTTCCGGTGTACGAGTTATGTCAAAATTGCTGTCTCTCCGTTTGGAGGGAAGACGATTTCCTTAGATTAGGAATACATAAAAATAATATAAACAATTCATATACTGACGAAGAACTCTCCTCCTCTTCTGATAACAGGAACCAGAGCAGAGGCCCATCCGCCTAATCTCCCTCTACCTCGAAGGACCCTCAAGAACAGGCAAAACTGTCTGGGCCAGAAGCCTCGGACGACACAATTACTTCTCCGGCAGAATAAGCTTCAAGGACTACGACCAAGACGCCGTCTACAACGTGATAGACGACATCAAATACTCGACAGTCCCTACCGAATTAATGAAGAATTTAGTAGGCTGCCAGAGAGATTTCCATGTATTTGTTAAGTTCCAACCAGATCTCACTATTAGAGGAGGAATTCCTTGTATTTTATTAACAAATGGGGACAGTAGTTGGTTAGATGCAATGTCCCCAAAAATGAGAGAATGGTTTGATGTTAATGTAACCACTGTCATGATTAATGAAAAATACCCCGGAGAGGAATACTTGGCGAAGCAAAAACGGAGGAACAATTCTTTGCTTTTTGTAAAGAAAGATGTCCCACCGATTACGTCACAAAATACCCCCAATTAAAAACATTTTCCAGGGATCATTACAAAAGAGAGAGGCCCCCATATACTAGCCCTTTTAATTCATTTCCTTTCTTAAATGAAGAAGTAAAAAAATGGGCAGAAAATAATATTTTGTTTGTAAGTCGAAATTGCGTTCAGTACGAGTTATGTCAAAATTGAATTGATGGACCAGGATCAACATCACTAGTGTCATCACCACCTTTGCGTACATCAATCTCTGACAAACTCAGACGACCTCTGCGTTCATGAATGACTGAACCACTTTCCCCAAAACCTCCTAACAACAAATCTCTTCGCCTCTCCGATAAACCAACAGACTTAGTCCGTGTCAGAATCAGAATGGCCGTCGTTGGAGGACAATGCCAGACATCAACATTATCATTAGTATATTTTTTAGATAACACAACAATAGAGGGGGCCTCATTTGCGAATCTTCTGGCATGTCACTCGTAGAATACTTCAGATACCCCTTCATTTTACAATACGTAACCCCCCTTTTAATATTAGAATTTTCAAGTCGATACTTCACCATCCATGGCACCTGTTTGTCGTTAATTGAACAATAACCATTCCCATAATAGACTAACTCGCATTGACAATCTACTGGGAAAATAAACCATGCCTGCAAACTGTCGTTACCGTCTAACCTCCGATCATAAACATTTACTCTGACCAACCCACTAGCATTGGGTGCGCAAAGAGGGGAATATTTTATCAATATTGTATCAACCTTAATACTTTTTTGTTTGTATCTTAACCTCAATTGAGAAAATAAATTAGGCAGCGCAAGTTCAATACAACTGAAATCACTTGCCGAAACACCTTCAACAACCCCAGTTTTTATATCGTCCACCTCCATTAACCCAAACATTAAAAATAAAAATACATCAAATTACAATTCTAAACAGTTTTAAAGTACATTTGACTCCTTAAAGTAATTTTGCATTCCTTTCCACTAACAGTAGCAGCCACTAAATATATAGCACCCTTTTGAATGCTTCCAACATTTCCTAACAGCGTATCTTTGTAGTCCGTCTAAATATCAACTGGGAAGAACCGGTCTACAACCTCAATCCCGTGACGAACGTACTCTTTGTCCTTGCCACCAACGAGCTTGAATCTCATTTTCTTTAGCATCCGAAAACGGTCGGACTGGTCAGGATCAACAATCCAGATCTCAGGATTACCCTCGCCAACTCCAATAAATATCTTGTCAGGTGTAGGGACGGAATCTGACGGACTATTATCACTGATGACAAAAAACAACACGTGGTGGACCACAGTTTCGTCCTTAGCATCCTGGCCCAATTGAACATTACCAATGAATTTGATACCCTTAACCACGATCTTGTCTAATTGACGGTTAGATCTCTTATTACCCAACTCAATACCATTAAGTAATCTCGCCACGCCTTTATTATCAAACTTAACGTCCCTTAATTGTTCATCGTATAGCTGTAATTTCCTTACTTCCCTCCGTTTCGCGCTCCCGCCATCTTCCACAACACGGCAAACAATCTTTGCCTCGTTGCGTTCAAAAAAAATAAAATCTTTGCCTTATTTAAACTAAATTTCATCAAAATTGTTATAATTTTTTTGAACATTTTCTTCTCCTAATTTTAGAATGTCACAATGTCATGAAGTAGTTTTTTAATTTTTATATTCAGAGTAATTGGACAAACCTCAAATATTGCAAATATATAAATATTTTTTAAGGGCCTCTTCAACTCTTTAATGTGTTTTTAAATTCAAAACTAAACAAGAAAAGTAGGAATAGAGTTTACTCTCAAATAAGGGTAATTTACAATTAAAAATTGGGTAATTAACAATCGCACTTGGGAAATATATAAAGAACAAATAATTCAAACAGCATTATAAGCCAAGTAAAAAACATGTTTAGCCACAAAAAAAAAGAAAAAGAAAAAGTAAAGGGGGTGATTTACATACACTATTCATTTAATTTTAAATAATATAAAAAACCTAAAAGGATTGAAGAACCTAGCACTTCGATTTTTTTATTTCCAAAACAAGAAAATTTTGAGATTGCTTTGTTTCAATTTCAAAATTAGTTTTTGAAATTTTTCTGTAAATATAAAAATTAATTTGACAAAAAAATACCCAAAAAGACAGTTTTAAAAAAAATTAAAATTTATTTTTGCCCACAAAAAATGTAAAATCATATGAAAAGACAGAATCTGAAAATCAAACCAAAAAGCTTCTAAAATAATACTATACACACAAACACAATAAAACTAACATTATATTAGTCCCCGATAAAATTCAGATTATTTTCATAAAACCAATATCCTGTAACTGAATAAATTAGGCAAAGCTGAAGCAATCCTTAATCCATCTCTACATACTAATATATTGAATCCAGTAAATTACTGTGTACATACATACCGACACTGCAAAATGGTCTTCATGTTCTACTGGACATTGTATACACACTGGTGAGGGTAAGTTGCAGAGTTACCAAACTCAATGTCGGTGGAAAAATTCAGGTCAAAAACATAGGAGATAGGCTTTGATACCAGCATCGGCTTTTTAAGGGTCACTGTGTCGAACAACTTCCCAAAGCTTGACTCATCAAATGAGAACGATTCTCTAAGGAAAAAGAAGCTCTCCTTGCCCAACTTTTCCACCTGAAACAACATGTACACAATGCGCTTATCAATTTTTTTGACAGGCAGCAATAAAATAGAATTTATTAATGAAAATAAATATCACAAGAAAGAAGAAGAAAACAAGCACAACAAAATAAAACAAAACAAAACAAAACAAAACAAAAGCAACAAAACAATGCGGCCTCAATATCTACACATCGCATACTACCTTCCAATCTCTAGAGATCAAGAAAAAATGAATCCCTTGAAAAGTGGAGGACACCAACGCCCAAAGAGATGACAAATAACAAACTATATCCTATAAAAAGAATCAACATCTTCCATCTTACAACATCTCCAATGCTAATAGGCATTTTACTTATCTAAATATTATTATCAACTATATATTTTATTTTTCCTATCAAACTTTTTATATTTCTACTCCAATCATGCTCTTTATTTTAACTATTCATTCAAATATTATTAAGTTTAAAGAATATCACATTAGCAACAAAGATTGAGAGAAATGATCATAATGATTAAATACATTTTGCCTAACCTTTGATGACTAACTACATGTACCTAGAAAATGTAAGTTGAGCCAAAATGCCTAATCATATACCTAGTACATTAGAGTTAAAAAAAGTGAGTTGTACTAGGCATTATTATATAACTAGTAGGTTGGAGATGCTCTTAGCTCGAAAATCCTTGTGTTTTGCTCTAACCAAATAACTCAAAAAATAATGATAAATATATGGTGCCAGTGCCACAATACAATGCGCTTACCAACAAAATATGATTCGATCACTACAGGTTCTATACAATCTTCCCTTCCATACGTAGTTCACTAGTTGTCTTGTTCCCATTAGTTTAAGTGTGTCAATTCAAGGTCATCACATCGTGGCAACTATATGGTTTATGTAAACAAATAAGATTAAACCACAATAAGTCATAATAGCAGAGATTGCCATTATAAAGGCTGTTCTTGTAATTTTCTTTCTACCCTATAAAAAAAATACATAACTAAAGCAATAAAATAGAACACTGATTTCCAATTTTAATAGCACAATATAATGTATAGCAATTTAAAACTACTAATGCATCGCTGCAAATTTCAGGAGGCACAGTAACTGACTAACATATAGGGATAACAGGGAACAATCCAACCTACTTTACTAAGAGATGAACCACCCAGCAATCAGCTAACTATTTATTTACAAGTTCTCTCAAATCTGTTAACACCCCTTGAGCCATCCATAATTATCTCTGATGACAAAATTTAGGGTTGATTACTCTAATAGCCCATCAATTATTAGCACATATCATCTTACCCCCTCCATCTGTGAACTTGTATATTTTGACCTACTCAACTATAAAAACCGTACAAAAAAATGTACAAGTTCATAGATGGGGGTAAGGTGATATTAGCTAAAAATTGAGAGGATCTTGATGTAAATTGTAATTAACCCCAAAATTTAAAAAGCAGATTATAGTGTATGTTTTTCACAGTTTCGCTACCAAAGGTAACCTGTTAACCTAACCATACTTCGAAGCAGTCACGTATTGGGATAGAGTTCATATATTATATCATCCAGTTAACTCTATTTCAGCGATCCTTAAATGGCAAAGGAATAAAAAAAAAAAGAAGAGGAAAGAAAGAAGGGGGGGGGGGAGAGGGGGAGGGAGGGGGGCGGAGGAAAGAGAGATCCAAAGCAAGATCTGAATATGGAAAAACCCTCAAACTTTCCTTTTGACAAAAAGATTAACTATTACCTGTAATCGAGAAAACCGAATATTGTTCATGGTAAGGATTACTTGCACTTCATGCAACTCATCTGCCAATATCCGGATGGCCAGATACTTGAAAAAAGTTTGCAAAAGACTCTTCTGTTCTTCCAAGTTTTCATTGTCGCTATCGAATTTGGGAAACCATAAGACACACTTGACTTCACTCCATGGGATTGGGTTGTCCTCTGCTTTGGAGATAATTGTCTGGGAGGGGTGAGAAAGGCCCCAAAGAATTCTGACACCAGAGAGGGATGCATCAAGTGGGGAGCCAGCAGATAGAACTGTTGTGGATATTATCTTGGATGGATCGTAATGGCGAGAGAGATGTGAGGAGAAATGAAAATCGGTGTCATCCAATAAAAGAATGCATCCATCATAAGATGTGGGAAACAATCTCAGAAGTGATGTGGCATCCACAGTTTCATCTTCCGGCAAGCATAAACTTGGTCGATAAGATGATGAAGTTGATGGACCCACATCATGAGAAAATTCACATTTATCTCCATTTCTACAACCCTGCAGATACATTTCTACAGCTATTAGTAACCATTATTGTCAAATTGTGAATCTTAAGATTCACTTCATTTAGCATAACATATAAGTGTTTAAAATAAAATAAATATCAATAAATAACTAAACTGTATAAATGTATATACATATAAAAGCACATATATCAATATAATTAGTTGACATCTTTTTTTATTTTATGAAAACACCACCATTTCATGCATTATGCAACTAGAATTGAATCATAATGAATTGTAGTGAATCGCAATTGAATCGTAAGACACAATTTAAGATTCAACTGTATGAATCAAATCATTTTGCTTGAAACTCGATTCGTAAGATTCTATCAACCATGTTAGAAACAACAGAAATTGCACAGCACAAAACTTCAAAGAAGCTCAGAGCCAGACAAGTAAATACCTTGAGAGAAAGGAAGAACTTGCAGACAGATCTTTTTGCTTGAAGTGAATGAGAAAATGAGCATTGGTTGCCCCTGTTGCACAGCCCTTTGACAAAAAATTTACATAGAGAAGGTTCCCAAGGGGCAGGAGGACCATCACCATTAACGTATTTATATTCGTTGCCAGATATGTGTTCTGTACATTGAACTCTTACCTATCGAACATGATGAGCAAGTAGAAAGATCAATACAATATCTTTTTTGGGTGAATAATATCAATTCAATATCAAGAACGGTTTTTACATGGCAAAAAAAATGCAATACCTCTTTGATTATAGTTGCCAAATTTTCAGCCACCTCATGTGACAGAAAGTAACTAGAAGGAACGAATGGCACAGAATTACATTTCCTTTTTTCATTTGGAAGCTCAGAGTGCTCATCATCTGCAGCCATAGTGTCCGTATTTCCATTTTTCTGACATGTGAGAAGACATGTATGTTGAAACTCGTAAGGCTCATAATACAATGGTAGACCATCAGCTGTAGCCAGAAATTTGGGTCGAAAGCGGTGAACTGAATTTAGTATATCTTCATCTGCAGAAAAAGACACCGTGAGATAAAACTCAAATCATGGTTGCATATACATGAGATTGTTAAACCCATACATATTTCTGTGACATGGTTTAGTGATGGCTGAACGAGATTGTGGAAAGAACACCATTCTTCTTCAGGGACCAACACTAGTGCAGCTTTCATCTCATCAAAGTGTAAAAGTTGTTTCAGCTGATCAAGACGGAGCTTATCCTTTAAGAAGTAGACAAAGGAATAAATTTTCGAATTCCATTGAGAAAGACAATCTTCCAGAAATTCAAGTGTAACAAACTACTTTACCTTGTAAACACGTTGCCAAAACTGAAATGCACAGAGGTTTGCCATAAATACCATTTCCTTTTTACCAGTTAGGGCAGTACTCTTATCATCTCCAGAATAATAGCAGTCAGTGTACTCTGCATACTGAAGAATATATGCAATTGATCAGAAAGACGAATTGTTTGAGTAATCAAATGAAATAATGAAATTTTGAAGCTTAACAATTTAATAAATATACCAAAATGTCCTGCGCAAAAGGACGTAGAATAGGTAAAGGCTGTGTATCCATCAATACACCAAGTAGAATGCCTTCACGTAACATTCCCATGTCTCCAAACTTCAATATAATCATGGAAGCATCAAATGACAATGAGAAACTGGCAAGCAATCGTCCATAGAATGTAGGCTCATACCGACCCCTATGAGATGTTTTCTCCAATGCATTGATGTGATCGAGCAAACTCAATGCATCTTCAACAATTTCTGGATCTGGAGGATCCATAGCCTTCTGCAACAAGACTACAATGACAAAATATCTCAATAATTAGGGGCCTTATTCATTCCCATGCAGACAATTTCCACATACAGAGGCAATTAGCATAGCATAGCATAGCAGACAACAAACTTTCAATTTCTCCTAATCTTGCAACAAGAAGTTGTAACACAAACTTTCTAGCAAGGCCAGAGTATTCTTAAATCATGTTTACATCTTAGAACTTTCTAGCAAGGCCAGAGTAATCTTAAATCATGTTTACATCTTCTCACAAGATCTTAAAAACATCATTTTCACCTATTTCACTAGCTGATACTTTCGAGAACCATACCAGTTAGAACCCCAAAAGTGGGAGATTAACAAGATCAACATAACTACCAAACAAATATGTCACAGTAACTTGCTAAATTCCTTAAAGACAGTTGTTAGATATGCCAGGTTCAATATTATCATTCAAGTTAGGGCAACAATCTTGGGTGGGTTAAAAACCAGGCTTGAGCAGGTTGGCAATACTGCAACCCAAGACTATCTCAGGTGCAAGGTGCGCTCTGAACACAAGTTCAAAATAGGTCCAGGGAGACAGATTTGCGGTTGGCTGTGTTGTAATCAAATAATTACCTTTTCCCAAACATCATTCATGAATATTCTCTTTATGGATGCTGTGTTGTAATCAAATAATTACCTTTTTCCAAACATCATTCATGAATATTCTCTTTATGGATGCCTCCATCACCATGTTAACAGACCAAACTTCTTTGTATATAAGTCTATGTCAACTTACCAAACATGCCCAAGTGCACGTTTTGTATAATAAGATATCAAGAAAAATGACTTGACCAGCTTCCAAAATTAGAACAGAAAATAAAATATAGAGCAAAAGTTATGTAATGAAATGGACTTACATAGAATAGTGTAGTATTTACATAATTTCTACTTTGTTAAGAACTTGAGAGGTAATTGGAGTATCTATGGATCTAGATGGCAAAATTAGTGCAGACATCTCCATACTTGGAAGGTCACTTTCATCCGATGAATGTTTTAAATGCACAAAGGTAATTAAGTTGCATGCTATACAATATATCACAGACATCAAAAACTGAGGATTGGACAGTGGTCAGGTTGGGCTAAAGTTCCTATCTGCTACAACCTCTCAAAATCAAATGGATCAACTTTTCATCAATTCCTAACAAAAAAGAGAGTATCAAGTCTCATCTTCCATACCTACCCAATGTAATCATCCACGTACAAAGTGAAAATAGCTTCCAGCTATTCCTTCGACAAGCCAAAAAAAAAACCACCATACCTTTGGGATCATTAATGGCTTTAGATTCAGCGCAGCAAATCAGAAGCACTTGCTGTCTCAATGACAGTCTCAGTATCGTTGGGCACTCAAAATCTTGTAGCTCATTGAAGAATGACCTAGTAACCAAGCGATAAATTTGACCATCACAAGTCCGACCTGTTCTTCCCTTGCGCTGGTTAGCCTACAGCATATATCTTTGAAGTTATCACAACTGAAAAAAACTTCAAATTCAAACCAATTGGGTCCCAAAATACCTGAGATTTAGAAACCCAGACAAGCTCTGCAGATTCAGTCTTCCTATTACTGTCCCAGAGAACTTGTAAAGAACGGCATGAATCAATGACAAAGGCTACTTTGGGAATTGTAACAGAAGATTCTGCGATATTAGTGGCCAAAATTACCTGCACCATTAAGAACTTTGAAAAAACAGCCAAAACCACGCCACGATGTATAATTAATGCAAGAAGCCACCAATTCAGGAAGAATTAAAATCAATATAATGATTGACAGAAGAAGAAGAAGAAGAAGATTAAAACAGAGCTCTTTAAACACATTTAACAAATTCCAACACTCGTGATGGCTATATCCCTCAATCTCCTTCATATGATTTCTAAACTAGGTATATACAGCCCCCTTCCTCACTCAATCACGCACAAATCCCTTTAGTTCTTCACATGGAAATGAAATAGAATCAACAAAACTATGTCATACAAATTTTCTCAACCAAAAAAAAGGACTACCTTTCACAAAACAGGCAAAACATTTACCATTATTTCAATCAAAATTCAAAGAAAATCTATGTCAAGAAAGTAAAGTCACCGTATACAGTATAAACATGTAGGGAAGTCATTGTGCAATAACAGATGCGGAAGCAAGAGGTAAAAATTCCCGCCCACACACCCCCGATAAAAAAAAGAAATGTAACTGAAAAGGAAAACATTTCTTACCTTACGACGGGATTTCCAAATTTTCATGGCCGTGAGAGCATGTTCAATGTCAATACTGCTATGTAAAATGTGAACTTTAAAAGAAACACTAAAAGGCTTCAGAAGGAACCATTGCCGCTCAAGTGCATAGTATGTTGGAAGAAAGACCAAAATGCTCTTTTCAATGTCTGGCTCATTTTTATGAATGTGCAACACCAAGTCGTGTATAAGTCTGTGCACTTCAGGCTTAATATCAGCATCAGCAACAAGGCTTGGCCCAGAACAATATTCCAAGGACGGAAGTTCTGAACTTATTCCGAGAAGTTCAGTTACCTGTTCAGCCAACACTTTATAAAAATCAAATATAGCTGAAAAGGTATGTAGTGCAACAACAAACTATGCTGGAAGTACATAATGCAGCTACAAATTAACATACAAGCTGTAAAGCCTAAAATTTATTTTCCAAATGTTAAAAGTATTGCAAAGAAATATTAGCATCTCCCCCCTTTGCTTGGTTCCATTTTTCCAAAAACACTTTTCAGAAAATTCTACTTTCTTGTTTTCCGTGCTTTTTTGTTTTTACTGAATTTTTTTAATATTTTAAATAATATTTTTTACTTTTTAGACATGCCTAACATAAATATACTTTAAAAATAAAAAATTTGTGAAAAAAGCCTTTTAAAAATTCACTAAATACCAAAAATACAAAAAATATATATATGAGAATTCAGTACATTTTTTGTATTTTTATGTATTTATTAATTTTTTAAAATATTTTTTCACAATTTTTTTACTTTTCAGATAAGGTGCATCTAAAAAAGTTTTAAAAAAATGTTTAAAATTTTAAAAATATTCACTAAAAACAAAAAAATACGAAAACCGAAAAAATCAATTTTCAAAAAACTTAATCCAAAAAACTCAAACCAAACACACTGAATAAGAACCCAATAATATAAGTTGTTGATGGTAAATCGGCAGTGTGTATAACCCATAACAGTAGTACATATCTCCTTGATGAAATTGGGAATAACAGCAAGGCCACCGATGATGAATAATTTAACACAAATGGCCACAACTCACATGAAAAAAAAAGAAGAAGATAAAATCGTAACAGGAGTGTTTTCTCAAACAATGATGGATTCACCACGCCATGAAAAGTTGTCCAGTAAAGCAATTAGATAAAGCGGACATCAAATTTACTTACCATAAAGGAAGAGCATAAATTATGTCTTGAAAGATGAAGTTACCAATAAACATGGTCAAGGATCATTCCAATCATGTTTGTTAAAGATTATATGAAACACGATACCTGTTCAAGGTATGACACTCTTCGCTGATAAATTGTCTGCTGACCAGAGCTGGGGATTGCAAGCACCTCTACTCTCTCACCCCTACCAAGATCCTTGAAGTAATCTCTGTATCTTGAAATATCAGCAGTAGCAGACATCAATACAACCCTGGAAAATTATAAAAATCTATCAGATCCTTCAGCAATATAACCCAGAAGCAGAGAAAAATATGGGCGGACATAGTTGGATTGGTTTTTTAAAAATCCCTTCATGCGCCTTTTTGGGTTTCTGATAACTTTCAAAGAATTTATATAAAATGAACTCCCAAAATCTATTACAAATAACACACTGGCCTACAATCTGCATCGTATTGCTTTATATTAAAAAGGAAAAGGAAAAAAAAAAACTAATAGCCCACTTTTTCTTTTCTACATAGGGGGAGAATGATGTCATGTATGTGTGACTAGCTTGTTAAAAGAACATGACAGATGCATTTTTAATGATAATTAAAAAAGATTTGATTCGTTATTGGCCAATCTATGTAAACATTTAAACAATGGAAATCTATCGACGTATCTTTTTTTTGTAAGTAGATGATATATATAGGTATCCTAAGTTCAATTTGACCCAAAATTATTTGCTGCCTCCTATTTGTCTATGATCATTATGTTCGTATTCTAGCGTAAATACTCAAAATTATTCTTAGGCTTTTTTGAAATTTAAAAAAAAGAAAAAGATTAATAATTGTTAAAACCTCAGTTAAGGTTCCCTTCTCTTTTCTATTTTTCCTTCTTTCATTTTTGGTATGACCGACACAAATTAGCTAATATTCTATGGTATAACTTAAGATGAATTTGTTGGAGAAATTAATGACAGTTTCCTATTTTGAATAGAAATTAAACACATAATTGCAAAAGTTTAAGCTTCATTCCAAAACTTTATGTTTTCATTTTGCCAATACACACCACTCATGCATACAGTTGGGGAGTCATAAAATTTCATTTTGTGTGTTTTTAGCCCCACAAAATCCCATTGCTGGCTGGCGTGGTCATATTGGAAATTATTACTAAAGATCACAAATCATTACTTTACATTTCACTGCTTAAGATCATAAATCAATATTACTTTAGGGTTTTCATTTACAGATATATGATGAAATGGTGAGGAAGATGAAAACTTCAAAATTTAGAAAATTGTTGGCCATTTTCAGCTTAGGATTACGATGCAATTCTTTTCATAACTAGTGTACTTTCTTCAATATTTAGTCGATAAAAGAAAATTATAAAGACTTGTAGTATGACTACTAAAAGCACAAGTGATATATAAAACATGTAATTTCTCCTACTAATTTATTTTGAACCCAAGGGAATTCCTATGTCTGCCAAATCATCAACAATGGCCTGGGACTTTTACCAAGATGCATACAACATGTAAGAGGTTTACAAAGATGCATATAGCATGTAAGAGGTCGAGGAGTTGCTTATGAGTGGACAAAATACAAAGTCCAACAACCCATAAACAAAAATACCAACAGCAAAAATTAGAAGAAGTAGAAAGAGAAGATATGTGAACCTCAAATCATTGTTCTTCAGCAAAAACTGCTTTACACAAACGAGAACAAGATCAGACTCTACAGATCTTTCATGAACTTCATCAAGAATAATAGCCTTGTACTTGAGGGCATCCAACCCCTTCTCCCGCATTTCATCAAGCAAAACTCCAGCAGTTTTGAAGACAATCTTGGTTCTGTGACATTGTTTTGATATAATGTAGAGAAACCATAAGCAAATTGGTAAGAGAGAAAATGAAACAAGAAAAGAATCTCAAACAAAATTATTTCAAACTCGGAAGAGTATAATATAAGAATAAATATAAAGATTCAACAACTGTCGTCCATAACATCATAATTTAGTCAGATTATTGAAATCCTGCAAGTTGTATCAAGTGCAAATTTAATCCTACCAAATGTGTGAAGAAGAACAACTTGATTTAGACGGGTATAGTAAGCCAAAGATACATAAGCAAAATACTTGAAATAATATATCTAGGCAATTGACCAGTATAAGAAGCATGCTATTCGAGTCCAGTGGCAATATAACAAACTCTTTAACAGTTAAACCACCATATGCACAACCAAGTCAAATAAGCACAAGCTTTACAGCCCTCAGACCCCAACTACAGAGAGAGAGAAAGAGAGAGAGAGAGAGAGAGAGAGAGGAATAATGGGACCAAATTATAAAAAGTCCTCTGAAAAAATAAGAAGAAGAAGAAGAAGAAGAAAAAGCTGATCTTAGCATTTGTTGTTATGGCATGCATGGACATGCAAACAAATTAAACACAATTTGGAGTACTGATGACAACCAAGCTGCAAGTCATAACGGAATTGGCCATCAACTATGCTTATGAACGTCCTTGCCACATCGGATCAGCGATAAACAAACATTTAATGTTTTTCAAAAGTTGTCAGAGAACCTAATGAGGAAGACCTTCACATATGATTCAGGCTTTGGAGGGTTGGATATGGCATTGAACATAACTATGCTGATGAGCGTCCTTGTTACATGGGAACAGCAATAAACAAACATTTTAATGTTTTTCAAAAGTTGCCACTGGTAAGGTTTTATAACTATAACTTTATTTACCTATATTTGCATTAATGATTAAGATAGTTGTCATTTGTCCCTCTAGCAAAGAATTTGAAAAGTATCTATGACCTCTTCTCATTTAAATAATGTTGAACTTGTCATTTTAGATAGAATGGAAACTCTCAGGGGCGGCCCATCCATTAGGCCAATTAGGCAACCGCCTAAAGCCCCATATTTGAGTAGGCTCCCAATTTTTTAAGACCCCTAATCGTATATACTGTTTTACTCCCATGCCAAAAATTTAAAAATAACATAAAATACATGGATGAGAAAGAGAAGGCAAACAACCAATAAATAAAGGGTAAATTACACTGATCTCCCCTGAGGTTTGAAAAAAATACAGTAAGTTTTACTGTTTTAACATAATTACATTGACTTCTTTTTAAGTAAGATTAAATGGACCAAAACTAATCCAAATGGTGCAAAACAAAAACTAAACAACGCATTCATCCATGTCACTAACAACTTATTGATGAAAATGAGGCTAAATGTTATATAAATTAAAATCTCAAGGGAGTTCACTGTCATTATATCAAAACTGTGGGACTTACTATATTTTCTCTAAACCCCAAGGGAGGTCAGTGTAATTTACCCATAAATAAAATTACCTCTGAAATAAAATCTTGTTGATCTTAGCATTTGTTGCCATCAACAAGTATGGACATCCAAACAAAAAAGACACAATTTAAAGTTCTGGCAACCATTCTACAAGTTATTTGTTAGAATTTACCTACACCTACCACCACCTACTACCACACCTACTACACCTACCACCAATTTACCCTCACCTACTCCTCACCTACTACCCAAACCCTCTCCTATATAATGAGCTACTCTGATTTGTAATACAAAACAATCAATCAGAAACCAATCAATCAATAATACTTGAATTTTAACATTATTTTCTATGGAAATTTGTCATCAAACATCTACTACATGGACACCCATCCTTTCTCCATGGGATGCAGCCATAAATGAAGCTTCCTTCAACAGGTCATTACGATTGTTAACCCTCTTGCAAATAAGTAAAAAAGTATATTGTAGATATATACAATAAATTACTAGCGGTGGGTGCAAACACAATGCCTTAGCATTTTTGCATCAAAACTTTTGATGAATGAGAAAGAGGAATTTGAAAATTGTTAGCAATTATCCTATTATAACCGTTGAGCAGATATTTTATGGGAAATCGTTGGAAAATTAAAAACAAAAATAAAATGACAAAGCTTCAATATATGATTCGAGTTGTGTGCTAAATAGAATAGATTACAGTTGACTAAATTCCAAAAATGAAGGATAACCAACTCAATCAATGTCATACCAGCCACCATATTGATAATGGTGTAAATAGAGAAAATGGAAAAGAGAATATAGAAGCACTCACACATCTGATTAGTAACAATATGAAGCTCAAACCAAAGCATGGACTAAGATTCTCATCAGTAGATTGGCTAGGAGGATATACCTTGCTGATACGACCTTTGAATGACCAATATGGTAACCAACCTCACCCCCTACTTCACAGTTACGAGCTTTTGCCACCATTCTAGCAACAGCCACAACAGCAAATCTCCTTGGCTGTGTACATAATATGGGCTTCATGTTTTCTTCTAGGAGAAATTGTGGGACTTGTGAACTCTTACCTTAATAAACAAACAACAATGAACCTTTAAAACCAACACAAAAAAAAACTTTAGATTTTAAGTAAAATCCGTAGCATTAACAACTTGTATGATGACTTGTTGGAACCGTGAACATTTAAGTTATTAGGGAAAGTATCTTTCGTCTTCATTGTTTAAATCTTGATGAACATGAATAAAATAACAACCAGGAGTCAACATTGATTTTTTAACTGCCACAACAAGTTAAAACAGAGAAAGGTCTATTTAAAAAAAGTACATCCAAATTTCTTTTCTTTTCTTTTTTTTCTTTTTTCTTTTTTTTAAGATAATGAGGAACCTCTAATTACATCTAATTTTCTAAGGCACCTAAATATGCTTCATGCACATAATACACTATAAATTTATTAACAATTTAGTTAAATGCACGAGATTACATGCAATAATTTCCCAGCAGCTCCTGGCCTACGGAGAAGATTATACAACTAATCAATTTTGACAAATCAATGTAAAGACAACCTAAGCTAAGTTACTTCCAAGTTCCAGCCAGATACTGAGAAAAAAGATTTATGTAGCCGACCCCATGAGACTTAAGGCTTCATTTGGTTTGATTTGGTTTGAAAAGAAACTTTTAAAAGAAAATTTGATAAAAGGAAAAGAACATAAAACTAGTCAGTTCGGTTGCCTGGACATCAAACTGGTCCCAACAAAACCAATAATCAACACAACCAGTAGTCAAAACAAATTTAAACAAACATATTTAACGGGTTTTTTTTTTTTTTGGCTGCAGCTTAGACCAACTCCAACACTACTCTCCATTTTTCACTAGCTAAATTACAACCAAAAAAAAAACATAGGCCCTTTATTTTACCTAAACACATTTTTGCTCCAACACCTCTCTCTATTTTGCCTATTCATTGAAACACGGTTAAAACAGCCTCCAGGACTGATAGCTAGTTAGCTAGATTGTCAAAGGCAGTGAAATGGTGTGAGTCTAGCTACAATAACCAACCCATCTTGCTAAAGAGCCTGTTAAGTTGTTATTTTTTAGGCATATTTTTACATTTTTGTGAAAAAAATTCAACCTTTTTTAAGTCCCCAAAAAAAAATGATACTTTAAATTTTTTTTAAAATAATAATAATTCAGGAAAGCCAAAAATAAACAAATTTTTTTAGGGTTTTTTATATACTACACTTGGGTTATTTCCGTCCTATTGACTTTTTAAAATATATATATATATATAGATTTCCTAAGTAGACTTTAAAAAATAAACAAAATTTGACATTAATTTCTTTAATTTAAAAAATAAAAATAAAAAATCCAGTTATAAGCTGATTAAGCAATATTATTGAGACTTGTTTGTTGGAAAAACATCGGAGAATGCAGTTAGGTAAAATGCCCGGTTGTTTCATTGCTGTTTCTTGAATTATGAGTAGCAAGCAGCAACAAAACAGAGTGAAGTAATTGAGAGATACATGGCTATTCCAGAACTCAATATGGATCAAATTAAGTAGCAAAAAGAAGAAACTAAGAAAGAATTAAGGCATGAAGAGGTACCGCAGCCAGTTTCGCCGACGATAAGAGTGACGCGATTTTCCTGAATCTTCTCAACGATTTTGTGTCTGAGTCCCATTATTGGAAGATCGGAGAACTTCGGTGATGATGAAAACGGAGACGAATACGTCGAGTATGATGATGAAGTCGGAGACGACGCCATTGTCAATACCTCAAAACCCTTGCTCTCTCTCTCTCTCTCACAATTTATAGTCTCTCCCGCTCCTTATTACAAGGAAAGAGAATAGAGAGACGAAAGAATGTTCTGGGAAAATACACACTCGCTAGATGTTCGCTCGCCCACACGAGTCTCTCTCCCTCTCTCTCTCTCTCTCTGTGTCTCCTCCCAAGTCCCTTTCTCTGTTGTGGACTTTGTTTGACTGCGATCTCAAATTTTTCATTAAATTTTTAAATTTGGTAAAAAAATCTATCTTTAATTACTTTAAAGATACTTTAACTCAGTATTAAATATTTCATTAAATTTGAAATTTCTCAAATCTTTTATTTATTTAAGAATCGATATTTCTCAAATCTTTTATTTATTTAAGAATCGATAATATTACATACATCAATTAATATATACACTAGTATACTAATTAGTATTATAATATATACACTAGTATACTAATTAGTATTATGATATTATTATTGATCACGTTTATTATACAAGTTACAAATATTTAAAATAATACAAATTATGTCACATCATCGATTACTATACTAATATATACATTAATTGATATATATAATATTATGTTTTAAGAATAAATAAGTTTTTTATCAAATTACAATTCATAATCATTAGAGTTATAGGTTGTATTGGATGATTTAAACTATTTAGGGGTGTTTTTGGAAGATAATTAAATGTTATTTTTTGGCTTTTTTTTACTTTTTTTTTTTAAAAGAAGGAAATGGGTTAAAAAGTGAGAAGTGGCTTTTAACCCACTTTCTAAAATATTATTTTATTATGTATTTTGTGTATTTTATTTATAAATAAAAATTATATCAATTTGATAATTGTAAATTGTTCAATCTATTATTTTTATAATAAAAAATATATATGATTCGTTTTTTAAAAATACAATTGTCGTTCATTTTTTTTAATAAAAATATGATAAATTAAACAAATTATCATTATCAAATTGTCGTTTATTATTCTAGTGAAGAAAAATACGATAAATTTAAGCTCCGTTTGGGAAGTTAGTTTGGAGGCTTTTTTTGGCTAAAATAGTCACAAAAAATAAAATAGGCTTTTTAGCCCAATAAGACAAAACTTCACATCTAACACATAATCATTACATTCTTTATCTCACAAAAAAATCAAAAAAAACTAAAAATCCTTCCCAAACTAGGCTTTTTAGCCTCAGGCTAAAATAATCAAAAAAGTAAAAAAGCCAACCCACTTCCCCAACAAGGCCTTAACAATTTATAATTATTAGATCAATATAATTTTTTTGTGAATAATATATATAAAGTTTTTAACAAAATAAATAGGTCAGATCATCGAGGTGGTGCCCATCCCAAACAATCCATTTCAGTCCAGATTTTGGATTGAAGATAATCCTCTTCCATATAAAATATCAATAACACAACAAATTCAGACTTACAAACTCATAATTTATCTAAAAAATAAATTAATGATTTAAATTTATTTTATCCATAAATTTTATATTTCATTAATTTAATTTTCATGAGGGTGTTTGGGAAGAAAAAAAAAAGCCAAATTTAGGCTAAAAATCACAAAAAGACAAAATAGGCTAAAATAGCTAATAAGACAAAATATCACATCAAACCCATAATCATTTCACTTTCTCTCTCACAAACATCACATCTAACCACAAAAAAATCTAATCATCTTCCCAAACACAAAAATTTTAACCTACTTAAAATAGTCAAAAACTAAAATAGCCTACTAAAATAATTACTTTCCAAACGAGGCCTAGATAACCACATTTCAAATAAATTATAGATTGATAAGGGGTTCATAACATTTTTGATAAATTATTATAGGGTAAAGGTACACGCGAGATAGCTAAATTTAGGCTAAAAATCACAAAAAGACAAAATAGGCTAAAATAGCTAATAAGACAAAATATCACATCAAACCCATAATCATTTCACTTTTTCTCTCACAAACATCACATCTAACCACAAAAAAATCTAATCATCTTCCTAAACACAAAAATTTTAACCTACTTAAAATAGTCAAAAACTAAAATAGCCTACTAAAATAACCACTTTCCAAACGAGGCCTAGATAACCACATTTCAAATAAATTATAGATTGATAAGGGGTTCATAACATTTTTGATAAATTATTATAGGGTAAAGGTACACGCGAGATGCATTGACGCGTTTACTTTTTGCTTCCTTCGTCACCACGTTATGAGAAAGTGGGTCCCGAATGTTTTTGTTTTGTATTGGCTCCACCGAATTGCATCATTCGGAAAAAACTACGTAGGGCATAGGAATGAAGATAAATTTATTTATTTTTTATTTTTTTAGAAAATAAGATAAAGGTTGGTTTGGGATGGGAAATTTTAATTTTTAATTAAAATATAAAATTAAACAAGTTAAATATTTGAAAATTATTTTTAAAAATTTTATAACAAAAAGTACATAAAATTAGACATAATGTAAATAAAATTTTGACTTTTTTATATTTTTTTTTACAACTTTTGCTTCTTTAGTTAATTTAACGTATTGCCAAATAATCCCTTAGCAAATGCTGTTTTACTTCTTCTTTTTTTTTAATTTTTCAATTTTTTTAGAATTCAAATTTTTGAGGTATTTTTAAATTATTAAGAAAAATTATTTTTCCAAATTATATTTTTAATAATAAATCATCATATTGTCCTTATAGTTACGTAGAGCCTTCTTGTAAACACAATGGACGTAGAGCCTTCTTGTAAACACAATGGAATTTCTTAAAGTATTTGTTATATCTACGGTGGTATGTGTGTATAAATTAAATGTGAAAATAAAATAAACAATAAATAAAATTGACATATATAAGCCCATAAAGGCTACGAATCACTATGAACAATCCAAACCCATCACTTGAAGCCCAATGCATAACCCAGCTGGTGAGGTCCAGGACAGCTAGAGTCCAACATGACATAAAGAACCAATGACATTCAGACACACAACAGGTGAAGGACGAGCCACATCAGCTGACAAAGATCTGCAAAGTTATTGCCACTACACATCACCATTAATATAGACCATCACAGCATTTATTACGACAACACCTCTCCGTCGGAATAGGACCCCCTCACCCTGAACAAGGTAAGCTACAGCATAGACTTTCGGCGAAGAGGGCAGGTCAGAAGGAACAGCAAAATGATAACCAAAGGATATAAGCAAACGTTGAAGACAAGAAGAAGGTCAAACTTTTCTATCTCTAATCTCTCCCTCTACACTCTACTTCTCTTCCTAATTTCCTCGTCAAAGGGTTCACTGGAGGACTACCCCGTTCCCCGTTGAACTTGTTTACAGGTTATCCGGTGGGCTTGATCATTTGGACCTGGGCTTGAGGAGCTTGGACCAGTCCGATCCATTTACTGGGACAAACTGTATCATCAGTTGGCACCGTCTGTGGGAAGTGGTTCTTATCCGGATGCCAGTTGTGCTCATTGTCGCCGGAGACCCTGTCCTAACAACCTTTTCCTCCTACCCATCCAAGTGTATGGTCACGACTAGATCCATGGCTTCTCACTATAATGCTGCCGACCATCAAGCCGACCATCAAACCGACCATCAAACCGACCATCCCGATCCAAACAACCCACCACAGTATATCATTAAGCTTACCAACAGCATTAACCGCTTGGCCGAACAAAACCAGGCCCTGATAAATGCTTTACTCCAAAGAAACCTTCTGATGCCTCCTCCACCACCTCCAGATATTCCACCCAACCAAGAAAGAGCCCCAAGCCATACTGTTCTGCAACCCTATCCACCCAACTTGGAGGGTTTACAACCTCCTCCCCCGCACATAAATCTACCACATCTACCCTCACACCCTTCTGTCGTGGCACTAGCCCTTGAAGGGGAAGCCAACAGCGTCCAGCCCCCATTGACTGACCATGGTGACCACATTCCCCTCTGGGATGCTGAACTCCGAGCAATGAAGCTCCAGCTCCAAGGGGTCATGCAGAACATTCAGCGTAAACCCTCTACCACGGCAAGCTCACCATTTGTTGCCTCCATCCGGGACAAACCTCTGTCCGCCAAGTTCAAGATGCCCACCATTGACTCTTTTGATAGTACGACGGACCCAGTCGACCATCTGGAGACCTACCGTACCCTTATGATCCTCCATGCCTTCCCTGACGAGATCATGTGCCGGGCTTTTCCCGTGACACTAAAGGGGTCAACTCGACTGTGGTTCAGCCAGTTACCAGTAGACTCTATTTCCACTTTCCAGCATCTCAGCGACTCATTCCTTAGCCATTTCATTGGAGCCCAGCGCCAACGCCGCCCTGCAACCCAACTCCTCAACATCCGTCAGACCGAGGGGGAGTCGCTGCGCAATTTCGTTACCCGCTTCAACACCGAAGCCCTGCAAGTAGCGGAAAACGATGACAAGGTCATCCACACGACTTTCATGGCCAGGCTACGATCGTCTAATTTCTTATTCTCCCTCTCAAAAAACCCCCCGACCTCCATGGCAGCCCTACTCTTCAAAGTCTAGAAATACATGAATGCCGAAGATTCACTAGCCGCTCGGCATGATCCAATATCTAAAAACCCGACCCCCAGAGAAAAGAAAAAAGACTCAGAACCCAGAAACACCCAGTATAACAGCCAAACAGCCCACTATACCGACCGACCTCCTCGCGCTGACCAGTCAGCACCAGCCCGACCGCCCAGTCGGTTCGAGCGGTACATGCCCCTTAATTCTCCCATGGAACAAGTCCTCCACCGGATCCAACGGGACTATCCCCTCAAATGGCCCCTACCCTCACGGGCCCCTTCTAATCAGAAAGACCAGTCCAAATATTGTCGTTTCTATCAGGACCATGGCCATAACACTGATGGCTGCATCAACCTCAATGATCAGGTCGAGACCCTCATTCGTCAAGGGCGCCTCAGCCGGTTCACGGACACCCGCCCACAGCAGAGGCAAAGAACCAAGCCCCTCAGAAACAACCGCCGGCGTACCCCACCCCGGCAGCCAGCCCAACCTAACCAAGGCCATGATCGCCCCCCACAACAGCCTCGGCTGCCAGGTAATCCCCCTCCGCCAGTTGGTGAAATCTGAGTCATTTCAGGTGGCCTTGCTTGTGGCCGACCATCCCGCTCCGCTCAGAGGGCAGAGCTCAGAAAGATAAGGCAAGGCTCGGACAGAACAGTTGTCACGGTA